CTTCCCAACCCCCCATCTCCCTCCACCCTTGCAACCTTCCCCCCAATGACTATTTATAATCAATCAAAAGAGAAATGGGATACAAAATCTTATTTCCTCAATTTTCCTTTAATTGTACATATCGATGCAAGATCATTTAATTTTTTTCTCAAAGTATTCTACAATCACTATGCACAACTTTAGCTTAGAAGACTTCAGCTAGGAGCTACATCATGAAAATCATATGGGAGCGCCCCCAACTATTCCAGTAGCTCTTAAATCTGATTGCATGTTCTAGTTATTTATGGAACTTGCTATACTTAGTACGAGGACCAAACTTGGGGCTTCAGGCATATTAGATGCCCTAGCTCTATCACTAAACTTTTGGAAACTTTAAAAGATACAGATGCCAAATCCATAGCTACTAGATATGAATGAGAACCACTGTGGATGGGTCAGAGATAAATAGATTCTCAAAAAAAAAAAAAACCCTTTTATTTCGGTATGTTGCGTTGCATCTGTCATATGAGTGCAGGTGCCCACAGAGGCCAGTGACAGGTCCCCTGAAGCTCGAGTTGCAAGTGGTTGTGAACTGCCTGTTGTGGGTACTGGGATCCAAACTCAGATGTCTGAAAGTGGCAAGTGGTCTTAGTCCTGAGCCACCTCTACAGGTCCCACACCAGTTTTTTGTTTGCTTTTATTTTGGTTTGGTTTTGCTTAGTTTTTGAGACAGGGTTTCTTTGTGTCCTGGAACTTGCTCTGTAGACCAGGCTGGCCTTGAAGTCACAGAGATCTGCCTGCCTCTACCTCCCTAGTGCTGGGATTAAAGGTGTGTGCTGCCACCACCACCAGGCTGCTGTATCTATTTTTTAAAGGGCCCTTGATCACAAAGTTAATGCACAATTTCTAAAACAAAAAAGGACTATATATCCAAAGCATAGAATGATATTTATAAATCAAATTTAAAATTATAACCCAATAGGAAAATAGTCTAGGAGAAATAGTCTATTCTCAGAAATGGAAATTAAAACAGAAAATAAACACAAAACCCCTACCTGGGCGGCTTTTTAAAATAATTTGAAGTGTGTGTACTCACCACTGGTGAGAGTGGAAACTGACACAACTATTTAGGACAGCAGTTTAGGTACTATCAAGTTTTTACATGAGGCTCGAGAGACAGCTCAGAGGCTAAGAGCACTGACTGGGCTTCAGGAGGATGTACATTCAACCCCTTGCACCCACATGGCGGCTAACAATCATCTGTAATTCGAGTTCTAGAGGACCCAATGCCCTTCTCTGGCCTCCACAGGCACTGCAAACCAAAATCCCCACCTACACACGAAATAAAGATAAATTTTAAAAAAAAATGATAAAACATTTTAAGCATGCATACCATTCAAATCTGCAATCCTATTTTTAAAGGAATATATCCTAAAAACACTGCTACGGAACAGGGTGTGGTGATGTACACCTATGATCCCAGCAGGAGGATAAGCAGTTCAAGGTTAGCCTGGGCTACCTGAGACCCTGTCTCAAGAAACAAATCAGTGGCCATTGAAATGGCGCAGCAGATAAAGATGCTTGCTGTTAACCCTGGCAATCTCAATTTCAATTTGACCTCTGGCGCTCACATAATGGAAGGAGAGAACTGACTCCACGTTGTTCTGATTTCCACACATGTGTAGTGGTAAGCATGTGGCCAAATGCATACACAAATACACAGAAACACAAATAAATACATGTTTAAATACAGCACTGGGTATAGTGGTGCAGGTCTTTCTACCCAGCATTTGGGAAGCAGAAGTAGATAGATAGATAGATAGATAGATAGATAGATAGATACATACATACATACATACATAGACAGACAGACAGATAGATAGACAGACAGATGGAAGATAGGTAGGTAGGTAGGTAGGTAGATCGACAAAAAGATAGATAGGTAAATAGACAGACAGATGAATGATAGGTAGGTATATAGATAGATAGATGAATGATAGGTAAATAGGTAGGTAGGTAGGTAGAGAGAGAGAGAGCGAGAGAGAGAGAGAGAGAGAGAGAGAGAGAGAGAGAGAGAAAGAAAGAAAAGAGTTCAAAGCCATCCTGGTTTATGTAGCAAGTTCCAAGCCAGTCAAAGTTACAAAGTTAAACTTCATCTCAACACCAGTCAAACAAAAAGGGTTGAGGAGATAGCTCAGCTGGTCGCACATGCACGATAATGAGCTTGGAGCCCTAGCAGACACGCTAAGCCCAGCACAGCAGCGCACATCTGTAAACCCAGGGCTGGGGCGGGGGCCCCCGGGGGGGAAGGGGTGCCAGAGCCAGGCACAGCCTGGAAGCTAACTTTTCAGCTAGTCTAACCAATCAGTGAATTTCAGGTTCAGAGGGATACCCTAGCTCAATAAAACAAAATAAGGAGTGATAGAGAACGAAGTCTGACGTCCTACTTGACTTCCACATGTAGACATGAGTGTGCATGCACACACAGTCATACACACATGCACATAGACACGGACTATTTTATCATTCAATATTCTGAGTAAGCTATTTCATAGACTCTTTATATCCTCATGAGTCCTAGTACAATGCCTTCTATGAATAGTCCCTGTAGTATAGCAGACAGATAAAAGAGATGCCCTCATTTATTGCACTAACAGGCCCATACCAGTACTTCTTCTCCACCTGGCGGGCTCGAAACAACTCCTGGACTTGATGTGCCATATCCTGCTCCCAAGCCAGCACCATTACACCCGTGGTTTCTTTGTCCAGACGGTGGCACAGATGCAAAGGCTCTGCCTTGTGGCCACGAAGCATCTTTGCCAGGATGGGCAGTACATCACTGATGCAGAGCTGGACTCCAGGGCCACCTAGGAAGAAAAGAGCCAGAGGAACTCTTCTTGAGAGAACAATTCTTACTGAGTAAGAAACTGTCCCCATATTCTACAATTGTGCTATGAAAACATGGCAGGGATTACTAACAACAATAGGCCTAGAGATCTCACTAGCTATAAAATGAACTCTAGGTCCCCTTTTCAGACTACTAAGTCAGAACTCATATTTTAACAAGCATCCTAAGGACTCACAAGTAATTGAAGTCTGAACAAAACTGTGGCTTTTTCTTCTGGTTTTGTGGGACTGGGAAGCTATACTGAGCTATTATAGAAGAGAGGTTAAGGTGACGGGCTCTGAGAACAGATATTCCTAGATTTTATTCTTTGTATTCTCCATTAGACCGTAGATAGATCACTATCTTTCCAACTCTACTTTGTTATCTAAAAATACCTTTAAAAATTAACACCAACAACCAAAATCCTCATCAGAGAATAGTAAGGCAAAAACCTGTTAGGAAATCAAGAGGGGGAAAAAAAATCACAGAATGCATTTGGCAATGCCTATTTTATTTCTCTGTACTGCCACTAAAGGAGTTATTTATTTCAACCAAAATACTTTCAGCTAAAATATTTATTTTCCCCCCTGTAAGTCTTTGATATTCCCTATTTTTCTTTTTTTTCAGTTCTGTCTCCCTTCAGCTGTCCCTCATCACTTCATTCAACAGACTCAGGCCATGCATTAAGTTCCAGACACTTTGGGGTTTCATGTTAGGTATCGTCCTACACACAAACACATCCCCCCTTTTATATTATTTCCTCTTTCCCAGTTTTGTTTGTTCTTTGTTTCTCTATCTCTCTCATTTTGAAATGAGGTTTCGCAGTTGCTGAGACTGGTCTGAACACTTGATCCTCCTGCCTCAGACTCTCCTAGACCTGGGATGACAGTTGCACACAGGCACCCAGCTCTTCTCCCCCTCCCCCGTTTTGGTAGAAAATAACCATTAGACTGTCAGCGCAGGGCTTTTTGTATCTCTCTGCAACAATCTATGTGGGAGGCTGCATACAGCCCACAGTCAGAATTCAGCCTTTGTATTTCTCTGCAATAATCCCTGTGGGAGGCGTACTGTCAAATATGTGGAAGTGAGGATTAGGCACTGGTTTGTGTTACCAGTAGTTAACTGGTTTGTGTTACCAGTAGTCATACACACGGGATAATACTGTACAAAGGCTTAATTAACTTGAATTCAAGAATGCCTCACATTTAAGTAGGGCTTCAGAGGTACCGTTAGCTGTAGAAGGAAGCAGCAGCAGGTTCCTTTCCCTTGTCCCCGTGGTTCTTACCGTGGACAGGGAGACCATAGGGTTTATTAATGACCACAATGTCCTTGTCCTGGTGGAGAATCCCTCGGCTCAGTTCCTTAGCAAGCACATTGGGGTGAACTCGCTGTAGCTGCTGCGTGAATCGCACGAGTTCCTGCACCCTCCGCTGAACAGGGTTTCTAGAGCCCTAAGGAGAGAGAAGGGCGGCAAAAGCTTAATGAGGAAGCGAAGCGCTGGGGGTGGCCTCAATGGGATTTAAGTGAAAATTCGTGCGGGGAATGGCTTGCAGAATTAGACTCATGCCTTCCTTTGGGATCGTATATCGGTATCTATCTCACCTACATACCCACGCGGTGCTTGGGTCTGAGCCTGGCAGTAGCAAAAGTGCCCACAAAGACACTGTGCAAGCACTGTCCTTTTTTCTCAGCGGTATTCCGACTATGACACTGTATATCCCCCAACACTGATTTACCGGCAGGTACAGAACCTGCCTACCGCATCCCACACCTGGGAAATCCTGAGAGCATTGCCTCTTGGGAGTTGTGGTCTTCCCAGGCTCACCGGCATTTTCTTCGTCTTTTGCTCTTGTTTCTGGGCTCGGAGCTTCTCCGCCAGTCTCTGAGCATTCAGGGGTCTAGAGGTAGAAGCTCTGGAACAAAACGGCTTGGATCCGGGAGTGAACGATCTCCCGGGACGCAACGTCCCACTCAGGACCCGGAGACCAGGCGTACCCAACCTGGACGCCGCCATCTTGCCGAGGGCGGGGTCAGACCGCGCCGCACGAAGGAGATCGCCCGGAGGGGGTGGGGTGAGGGCGGGCTCTGCTGGTCACGTGGGTGCCCAGCCTGCGGGTCACGTGGACAGTGCGCGCTCAGTGCGGCTGCGCCGGCCGGTAGCTGCAGCTGGAGCGGTGGCGTTTGGAGCAGACGCGGTGAGTGTGTGGGGAAGCCGGGCTGGGGCTGGGAAATGCCGGTGCCTCAACGGTTTCCGTGTGGCCCGGATCTCCGTTCTTGGAGAGCACTGCCCTGGGAACCGAGTCTCCCTTGGGGACGCGACCCCTCTCAAAACCACTTCCCCGCCCCCTCACCCTTTAGAAGCGAAGCCGGGGAGACGCCGGCTCCTCAGCCTTCATCCGCACCTGTCTCGTCCCTCTTAGCAACCACGTCCTCGGCGGGTCCTCGGAGGGACATGTCGTGTCCCCTTTCATGTTCTTGCCGTTCGCCCTCCGGAGATCCCCGGATCTCTCATATTCCATCCTCTCACTTTGCGACTGCCAGCCCCTTTGTTTCGCGTTGTTTGTAACCAGTCGCTTCTCCCGAGGATTTCGGTTCTTTTCCTTGATCCAGGACCCCTACCCCATATGACCTACCTCGAGAGCACCCCGGGTTTCTTCTGACCTTCCTCAGGAGTTCGCTGCTTGGGCTCTGCTGTCCCTTCTCCACTCTTCCCAAAGAAAGGGCAGAAAGTACAGAGCCTAGACCTGTCACTTTTGCCTCCTTTAGTCTTTCCTTCCACAGCTTGAAACTGCCCAGCCCTCTCTCCCTTTCCTACAAGGGACTCCCATGTCCGAACTGCAAACCACGGCTTGCCTATCAGCAAAGGGCAGCTGGAAGTATGAGCAGCTGTTTGGAATGGTGATTTCAAAAACACTTGGGATGCGCATGCCATTTGCTGGGGAAGCTGATGCTAAAAGGATGTCATGAGAACTAGTGACTTTTCTCTGCCGATAGAGGGATTGCGTTTCAATCGGAGAATAAGTAGTTGAATTAGGCTTGGGTCCTTCTCTCTCCAAAACAGGATTAGCAAAGGGAGACCGCAGTTCGTGTGAAGCAGTTGAGCAGGTGGATATCTTACAGAAGACTAAAAGTTGGAGTTTAAACTTAATGTGATAGGTTGTTGAGAGTCCTTGAAAGTTCTTGAGAAATTCCATGTAAGTGGAATTGTAGATAGGAATCTGATAATGCAGTGCTAGACAGATGGAAAAGAAAAGGGTTTGTAGCCAGGAAACCAACGAGGCTCTTGCTATGTAGGTGATCATCGATAAGATCAAGTCCCATTCCGTGGTCTTTGTCCCCCCTGCCCAGTACTGTCTTTGGGATATGAATTAGCATTTCTGCAGTCGAGTTGTCCATTGGCAGCTGCTGTTGAATTACGTGAGGACTTTTTTTTCTAATCCCCAAGCTTGTTAATATAGTAAGTTCACAACTATTTATGTGACTGCGGTGTTCCTGAGTTGGGTTGGGTGCTCGCTTCGGCAGTACATATACTAAAATGGGAACAATACTGAGTTGGCTTGAACTTTTTATTTGTCTCTTGATTTGTTCTAACGGGCTCACACTGTAGACCAGGCTAGCCTTGAATTCGCAGAGCTTTGTTGGTCTCTGCTTCCCTGGCGCTAGGATTAAAGACTGTTTCTGAGAGGTTTGAACCATTTCACTACGATCAGTTTTTGACTTGAAGGAAAGCAGAGGATGGGGGAAAGGAGACTGTCTGTCTTTCTGTAATAAGATAAGTGGTCTGAATGTAGAGTCCCTGGGAACAGTTTGGGAAACACCGTTTCTTCTGTCAGTGGCTCTGTCCCCTCTCAACAACAAATTCACAAGTAGAACACCTACAAAAGTTGAGAAATTCCACTTCAGAATTATTGCCCTTTCTTATAGGCTCCAGTTGCAGATTCTAATGTCACTATACTGTTGAGCATCACTTGTTAGTCATATGAAGGCCACTTTTCCCAAGACATGGGCATCAGGGTTTAAGTTCACACCTTTACCAGGTGTAGTTAACCCTTATGATTTTGGAGAAGGTGTGGAAAAACCTGTTTATACCTTTACTTTTCTTGCATGTTTCAAGATTAATGCTTGTTTTACAGAATCGGCCTTCTGTAGCAGGAGACAAGGCAAAGAGGCAACTCGGATGTCATTGCTAGTGAGACAAAGCTGTGTTCTTGGTTTCACTCTATAATGCTGTGGGACACTATAATGCCTGAAAATAAAGGCGCCAGGCACTGTCTTAAAAGAAGAGACTTTTAGGGTTTTTCTTGCTGCAATTTTCTAGGAAGAATTTAAAGAATTCAGTTTTGCTGTTTAGCTCTACATGTGGTTGCAAAAGTTGTGATTCCCGTAATGCTTCTCCTATGAATCTTGGCATTTCACAGTCTAAAATAGAGTTACAGCTGAGTGTGGGCCTTTAGTCCCAGCCTTCAGGAGGCAGAGACAGGTGGATCTCTGTGAGTTCAAGGCTAGCCTGGTCTACATAGCAAGTTCCAGTACAGCCAGGACTATGCAGAGAGACCTTATCTCAAAAAAAAAAAAACAAAAAAAAAACCAAAACTGACTAGAGTTAGTGTTTGTGAACAATTATGCTCATACATCCGTCTCCCCTTCCAATCTGTTCTGTCTTATTCCTCTTCCTTATTCAGTCAGAGCTATTTCAGGCATTCTCTTTATTACTTCCTCACCAACTTCATGTTGTCTCTTTGATTAGTGGCACCTTTTGTCTAATGATTTTCTCAGTCCAAGGAAGGAAGTTAGAAGGACATTCTGTTACTGGGTCATCAACTTTACAGAGTACAGACTATTCAAACATGGCTTATTTATATAACTACATAAAGAACTTGATTGTTGGCTTGTAAAGGTGCTTGCCGCTAAGTCTGGCGACCTGAGTCCCACATAAAAGGAGAACTGACTTCTCACAGTTTGTCCTCTCACCTCATGAGTGTGTGTGCACTTGAGCACATTCAGGCACACATGCACACGCACGCTAAATAAATATAATAATTTAAAAAATAATCTTTTAAAAGAACCTTTTAAAGATGTTATCTATTCTATAGAAAAGCAAAAAAAAAGCTCCCTTAGTATTTCATAGAGAATAGCTAATTAGTAAGGAGGAACCTTAAGCCCTATTCATGGAAGATTGATTAGTTCACAGAGTGCTAACTTGTGCTTCCTGAAACAAAGATTTGCCAGTTGCAGATTAACCAGGGATCCCACTTGTCTGAGGAGCAGGAAGTACTTGGACATTGTTTTATGATTTTAGGGAGGTCGGGAGAAGCAATCAGCAGGAACTCACTGGTAGTTTCTTGGAAAGTGTGGTCTTGGGGGCCAGGCGATCGAGCTGGGAGCTAGTCCCAGTTTAGTTGCTAAGAATTTGACAGGTAATTTGGGTTTTGGGTTTTGATTATACAACTCTAAGTATTTGTTCTGTGAAGGTTTTCAAATGGCACTTAATAAGTGAAAAGCCTCTTAACAAGTGAAATTTATTGCAGATTTACCTTGAATGTATTTAGCACCAGTACAAAGACTCTAGATTGTGTTCCTCCCCAGTGACCCACCCCAGAGAGTAGAGTTCTCTCTACTGAGCTGATGTTTGTATTGGAGTTTACCTAATTGAATGATATTGGGGTGAGACTTAAGTATTGCAGTTTACCTAATTGAATGGTATTGGGGTGGTTTCTTTAAGTGGTGGTTGGTAAGATGGCACAAGGTGTTTGCTTTGAAAACCTGGAACCCCGTAAAGGTGGAAGGAGAAAACCTATTCCACCAGGTTGCCTTCTGAGCTCCATGCACTAGTTACAGCACATATGCCGCCTCCACCCCAGATAAATAGTTTTAAGAGAGAGAGAGAGAGAGAGAGAGAGAGAGAGAGAGAAGCTTTCCTAGGCTCAGGTGTGGTGACACACCTTTAATACCAGCACTCGTCAGCCTAGTTGGTCTCCACCATGAACTCCAGGCCAGCCAGGGCTGCATGGTGGGACCCCGTTTTTTAAAAAAGAAGAGAATCCTATAACCCTATAATGTTGGTTGTGGATAGTAATTATTTTTTCCAAACCATCTTACCTTTTTTATTTTTGAAATAGGATACGTACCGATATGGAGCCCACGCCATCCTAGAGCTCACTGTATCACCCAGACTAGCCTTGAACTCTTGTCTTCCTGAATCAGTCTTCTGAATGCCAGGACTACAGGCCTGCTGCCACACCCAGCCTCTGACAGGCATTTCTAAGAAATTCCTTTGTTCTGTCACTTCATACTTTTATCTACCCTTTGACCAGTGGTCCAGAGGGTGCCTTAAACTAGTGCTTCCTGGACTTTGGTGTTTCACGAAGCATGGAAATACAGCTCTGTCACTAGAGAATGCTAGAGGTGGACCCTAGGAAGCCGTGAGCCTAGTTTTCTCTGTTCACAGTCTCCAACCTGGTAGCACCAAAGGCTGAGGAGATAAAATACATCCCTACCATGAGATACGTCTGACCTTGCCCATTCAAGGGCCTTATTGAAAGCTGGCTGACCATGCAGAGATGTTGTGCCCTCGATTGTTCCTCTCAGCTTGGTCTCCCGTTTGCTGTGCTTGTGCCCCGATTAGTTACTTTTGGCTAGTTTCTACCTAAGGTCATGGTTGTCCTAGTACAGTGGCTTTCTAAAAGTGTGTGCATAGCAGTAGCTGATAAAGAGATGAAAAGTGTTTTTTGCTGTTAAGTTTGACCATGTGAGACTGTGGACAGTCTTGGTTTGCCTATTTAGAAAAAGCAGACACTACCTAAATTAAAATCAAAGATGACATTCAAGGAATGGATATTTCTTTAAATAATTGTATTTTATGCTTTCTGTTATAAAAAGTAATAGTAATATAAAGCATGAAAAGTATGAAAATTAGAAGGGGGTAGTGTAACATGAGGGGCCGGCTTGTTGGGGTTTCTATCCCACCCGGTACCTCGTAGCTGGCAAATCCCAAGGAAAATCACACGGAGTCTATATTAGGTTATAAACTGATTGGCCCATTAGGTCAGGCTTCTTATTAACTCTTATAACTTATATTAACCCATTATTCTCATCTATGTTAGCCATAATGGCTCAGTACCTTTTCCAGCGGGGGCAGCTTACATGTTGCTTCTTCAGTGATCTGCGCAGGAGTGCCAGAGGGACCTTCCTCCTC